AGGATCTAATTGTTTTATAATACTCATTCCTATTTTATCTAGATGTTCAATGGATCTATAAATCTCCCCCTGGGATTCATCATAGTAACTGTAACGGAACCTTTGACCCCAATGGCAGAAATCAGAAGAAACCACAAAGAGATTACTAGGATCCGCTAGATATTTACTGAAGAGTTTTCTGAGTTCCTGTTCTTTTGACTCACTCAGAGCTCCAACCAGTACAGGAATAATGGTAAACCCATCCTTATGGCTTTCCATGGCTTTAGCTGTATAAGGCAAATGTATTTCAATACTGTGTTCATCTTCATCTGTCTGTAGAGTCATGCGTTCAAACATTCCTGTCTTCCATAGCTCTCCGTTAATCTTTTGGTCAATACGAAGGTCATATAGAGGTGTCCTATATATATCCACACTGGAAAGTGCACATCGAGAGAGGGGCACATGATGAGAAGGCCCAAGGATGAAAATTCTCCGGGTAATAGATGGATCCACTTGTTTGTAAGCATGGGCAGCACAAGATCCACAGTACGTATACCCTGCATGGGGTGCAATAATGGCTGTAGCAGGTCTTTTTGTCGACTGTACTTGTGAAAGCCAACCTTCTAGCTGTGCATTCAGCTGCGGTCTTAAGGCTGTGTACCAGCTCCTGGCGTGGCTGGCTTCCCGGCAGACCACACCTATGGTGCACGAGGATGAATGAGGGGACAACACACAGCGGGCCCAGCCCAGGAGGAGGTGGCAGCGGGGAGGGGCGAAAACTGACTTTTTAAAAACTTTTTTAAAAAGTTTTTGGTGGACACAGTATCTTTATTTTTATGTGGTGTTGAGGATCTAACCCAGTGTCCCGCACATGCCAGGCAGCGCGTTACTGCTTGAGCCACATCCCCAGCCCCCAAACTGACATCTTTATACTGTTGATTTTTCTACATGTTCCTTAAATGATCTTTATATTCATTCAAACACAATTGTAATTTTCACCTTGTATTAATATTTTTCCCAGCGATTTGATCTTTTTGATGCTACAATTAGAATCTCGAAGTATCTAATTTTCTTAGTGTAGGAATGCAGTTCAGTTTCGTTATGTCAATAGTTGGCAACTTTGCTAACTTGCTTATTCTAATACAGTACAGATTCATTTATACATTCTACAAGCAGATATATACAAGTAGTGACTATTTTAATTCTTTTTTATATTCTCAAATCGTTTCTTTCTTTCTTTCTTTCTTTTTCAAGAAACTCCTCTACAAAATTAAATAATAATGTAGAGTGTGAGCATCCTTGTCTTGTTTCTAATCTCAGGGAGAACACTTTCCATAGAGTATCATTTTGGTTATGATATTTGCCACAGTTTTTCACTATTAGATATTCTTGAAAACTTTTTCCCCTAATCTGCTAGGAATTGAATATAAAATTTGATCAAATGCTCTTATATTTTTTTAAATGATCAAATAAATTTTATCATTTATTCTGCACCAAACTGTATTCCTGGAATCATGAAACTATATTATCTTTCTGTATCAGCTAAAATTTTATTTAGAAATTTGTATAGGTAGTTCTTCTTCTATGACAAATTTTTAGAGCAGTTTTAGGTACACAGCAAAATTGAGAAGAAGATATAGAGACTTCCCATATACCTCCTATCCCCATAAATGCATAGCCTCCCCTATTATCAACACCCACTCCACAAGAGAGATGATTTCTTACAGTTGATAAACTTATACCAGCACATAACAATCACCCACATGTCATAAATTAAATCAG